CAATTTTGTCGTATTATTTCTCAATTTTGTATCTCGCACCGATCTTCTGTCATAAATTTCAAATTTCGTAATTTCTCTTTGTAATTTGTGAAAAGGGTTACAGTTACGGTATACATTCTCGAGTATTTCCATACATAAAGATCTTACCCAATCTGAAAGTTACATATTCCTTTTAACTTTAAATTCAAAGAGGTACAAAAGGCCCCTCTCCCCTTCCACTCGCACGAATACGTTCGATAATTGCTTTAATAAAAAGCGGCACAGCAGAATAGATAGCAATTCTTATCGCAAGTTGCGCGATAATGTTATATAAAAGTTTATGTATTAAAAATTTACCAAATAAATCTTATATAATTACCATTATATAACATTATGTATCATCTGTATTATTTCGTTTACGAGCACGTAATTGAAAATGATATCACGACAAAATAATTGATATCACCTTCCTAATCTCGTCATCGACAGAAATTTTCTCAAACTAGTATCTTTTTTGTGAAATGAACGAATTGACGAATATCGGTGTCTATGCGTAGATATAGGTACGACGATAAAATTTCATAGTATAGTTTTCATTAGAACATTGGTACAAATATTAAAAAATTACTTTGTGCCTTCAAGTTTAAATTATCTCTTTACAAGATACAAATAAATCTTAATTTTTACGTTTCTCTAAACTCTTGTACACATTGAGAAGTTTGGTGAGAAATATTAATCCCTTTCCACGATATATAATATTTCGTTTCCACAAATAAATATTTTCTAATTCATCGTTCATTCTATTCCACACAGTGTATCCAATCCAAATTATCCTACCAACCTACTATATTTACGTGTACCTATTTCTTACATCATAATTATAACATTAATTTGATTAAAAATTTCATGAATTACCACGAAAGGTTGGATTTATAAAAGATACATACGTACAATATGGACCATCTAATAACTAACTAAAATCCCAATTCATCTTCTCGCAAAATTATTATATACTTAAATTTGAATTAAACTAAGTATCTAAATTACAACCTCCAATTTTAACTTTGCTGGTAAGGTTTGTCTGTGCTAATATAACAGCACCTGCGTATTTTTAGCAGCTGCAAGAACAAAGAGAGTCTGAGATCCATTATTTTACTGATCCAACGGCCGCGTCTAACACCAGAGAATTTCGAAAATGCGACGCTTCGAAATTCCTTTCCATTTGAGGGAGCGTCTCAGCAGAATCTGTCACGTTCATCACGATTCAGCGCGTATACGATGGATTTTCTATACCGAGACGATGTTTGTTCGATGCAGAGTCTCGGTGTTCCTGGTACATGCACCGTGTCCCACCGAACGGGCCGACGCGAATAATCTGGCCTCTCGGCACTCCCGACATTCTCTCTCTCTCTCTTTCTCTTTCTGTTTCTCTCTTCCCCTGTCTCCCTCTTTCTCTCGAGCCCACGTTATATAAGAACCGCCTCAGACTGGCCGTGAACTTACCGGCGTCGTCGTCTTCGCATTCGAACGCAGCCGTCTCCCTTTCCACGCGCGAACCCGTCCGGTGCACTCGGCATGCACAGAAGAGGGAGAAGGAATGCGATCGATTCAGTTATTCTTTTCAGGGAGATCGAGAGAAACAGCTCTTACCTGGCTGCTGCGCTTTATCTCGCGGTGAGACCTCTTCTATGGGATTTTGCTCCGCGATTTTGCGATTCGCGCTCGCGAAACAACGTTCTCCAGGGAAGAAAGCGAACCGCCGTTCGTTAACTAGTGAGGAAAACGAACGTTTCTTTGTGGTAATTTTTTAATTTATTACACGGGGGAATTTTCATTATTTAACTACCTTTTCTTTGAGTTGTAGCTTCTTCATTTTAATTGGTAATTGAATTATTGCATGTTTAAGGTTCCATGGTAAAAATGTATACAAAAATACGTGCACTAATGACATAGATTTAGTTTTATTAAAGTATAAAGCATAAAATTTAGTTTTAGTTTTATTAATTTAGTTTTATTAAGTATAAAGTATAAAATAATATCGCGAATTAAAGAAGAATCTGTGTATATTCCAAGTAAGATTCGAAGGAATGTATCGAGAAATTTAAATTTAAAAAAATTTTTAGGTACTTTGAGGTTTCACTGTTACATTTTACGTATAAACTGGTAGAGTATTCGAATGGGAAATTATAGACTGTACTAACATACCAATCATACAAAGGATCTGTTACATAATAAAAAAATTATCATTTTTAGAAATATTTTCTCCTTGAACGAAAGAACGAAGAATCAAGAATCAAAACGATATACAACTCGGGAACGAATTGAGAATTTTAAAATCAGACTAATTTAAATTCTGCAAATTGAGAATTTTAAAATCAGACTAATTTAAATTCTGCAAACATCGTTTTCGTTCCACCGTATTTTTCGAAATAAACACGACGATTAAAAACATTCTGACGCGATGACTGCCGAGGCCTGCAACGATTACGGTATAACGTCATGGATTAAAAAATAGAAGCGAGTCTACGAGACGTTTCGACGTCTGGGAATCTGGACAAAGGAGCCTGTGCTCGGTCTACATCGAGGTCATCAACCAGAACTTAAATCGGAGCGATTAAAATCCACCTATGCCAGACGGAGGAATTGCATTCACCGTTCACCACGAATATTATCCTTCTACGTGGATCACTGCACATTAAATTCTCAACACTCGAGTGGTTCGTTTAATCGCATTTACGCTTTAAACGAAGACTAAAGATTTTTTCTCCAGATTTAATTCTCCTAGATAAAACAAATTTTGTTTCAGTGAAACATTTACATTTTATGTACGAAAAACAGTTCTCTTTTTGAAAAGTTCAGGCTAATAATCTTATGATCTACTCGATGAAAAAGAATTTTTTTATGTCTAAAGTTTCTTTTTCTGTAAATTTCAACAAAAGCGTGACAAAATTAGACCCTTGAAGACGTGAAATTTTGCGATTACAAAGGTCAAGACAGTTCAAACCTCATAGTGTATTTAAATTAAACGAAACACTCAGCAATCACCTTATTTTTAGACATTTGATTCATTCAACACGACAGTCTCTATCTTCAATATTGTAAGTCAAAAATATCTCAACAAATCGTTGATAAATACAATTTTCGACAAGTATACGCAAATGTTTAAAGTTCGGAAAGCTTCAAAATTTTTACCAGTTTCTTGCTGTATTCGTCCGTATTCGAACTTTCGACGCAAAAGCATCCTTTTGCAAAAACACAAAAAAAAAAAAAAAAAAAATATAAAGAAAAGGTTAGGTCTGTTCTTCAGAATTTCGAGTGAGCTGAATGAGTTTGAGCGACGAAGAGAGAGAGTATGCCAGCGATTCACGCGCGGGACAAAGAAGCTCGAGACGGAACAGTTCGTATGATTTACGGCGTTGTTTGTAAAAACGTGGAACGTTGTTTCTACCACGAAAACCGTTTCTGTGACCGACGAGTAACAAGGCCAACGTTATCCGCAGATGGAGCACGTAGTAAATATTCGCATTTGCGAATGAAATACCATTCATGAAATACTAGATGTGTTTTGTCAAGTTTAAGAAGCATTTGGTCAGATTATTTGATTACAATAACGATTAAGCTATGAATTTTGATACACTTACCTTTGGAAAGATTTATATTTTATACGAGAAATTTTAAAGTGGAAGATTATATACAAATGCACGCGATGTGAAAAAAATACGTGTATGAAATTTCCAAAGTATAGCGCTTTCCACAATATATACTTAGAGTGTGTAAAATAATTGGTATTATTATTATTATTCGTCGTTTCGTGTGGAAGAAAGAGGAAGAACATGTAGAGTTCCTACAAATTTTCACTCTGAATTCTTAGATGTTTATAACCTCCGAAATTCAAAGTATCGTCTAAACGATATCATGCTATGTCATTCAGAAAATATAAAAGGATTAAACAGCTCGGTTTGCAATAAAAATTTTATCTCTTAAAGTTTTAAAGTACTTTCTACGAGTCAGTATGTCAAACAATTTTCTACCGATGATTTAGCATTCGCAAAAATACGAATTTATAAAAGTCCGCAGTCGGCGATCGTTCTTTTATTTGAGTGAATTGTGCTTAAAAACGATCGTGCTTTTGTCTTTGCGTATTTTGCGCTATCTTTGAAATCGAAACATGCAAATTAATTCGATCTTCTGCGGTTCGTAACGCTATCCGGATTCGCTGTTTCGTAATGATCTTTATGTAACTGCTTTATAATCCCTGGTGAGAATTTAGTAGCACGAGTAAACTTTTCTCGTACGCAAATCGCGTGTTTCTCCGATCGATTGCGTAAAAAAGGGAAACAAAGGAGAATCAAGGCTACATCGTTGGGCTAAATCGAGACCCCGTAACCTGGTATATGATACGCGCCATTTTCCATCTATTAATGCAGAAAAATCGTCCTTCACACGGCTTCACATAAAAATAGCCCTTCAGATTATTATAAACACGGTTACTTTCCCGGGGTGGTAAATTAGGGACTCGATAAATCCTAATTTGAACTTTTTCAGAATAGTTGATCACGAAGCGTATCAGACGCATCAATGTGAAGAATCGCGAGAAAGAAAGAAATGTGAAATTTACTCTCATTCTGATCGCGGTACTTTTCAACATCTCAAGGAAGGTATTTCAGTGTAACATATCTGAAGAGGAGAACAACATATTAAGTTCAAAAATAGGAATTCCTTAAAAAATAAAGGAATCGAACCGATAAACTTTAGCAGAGACGCAATGACCAAAACTTATATCCTTTTAAATAATTAGGAATTCGATACAATTGCCTCCGTATAAAAGTACATATGCCTACGTTTCGTATCTATACAGTCATGTGGTATTACCTGTATCATAATACGATCGTTTATGCACATTTGTGCGCGCAACTTGAACGCCAACGTCGCGTACGCGCTTTCTTAACCCAGAATTAATTGTTCAAGACGACTGCCAAAAGATTCGAAACCCGAGAAACGCCGAGAGACTCAACACTCACCAAGATGAACTGCGAGGTTGTACCTCTCGAGGGCCTGACCCAGGTGTCCCTCCTTCATCAATGTGTCACCCTCGTGCCTGGCCCTGCTGGCCTCAGCCTCGCGTGGCCACCACTTTTCCACCAGTCTCTGCACCAGCACGTTCGTCTCACTCACAGCGGCGATCTTTTGCCAGCACACGCGACAGCTCTTGCCCAGTTCCACGCAATTCTTGCAGTACGTGTGGCCGCAGTTCGTGGTCACCGGCTGGCACAAGGTTCCCTCGCAAACCGGGCACGCGAACGACGTCTCTATTTTCCTTCGGAAGCTGGTGGCGGTGGTCGCCGCGCCGGACAACTCGTCCAGCAAAGCGTTGGCCAAGTGTTTCAGTCTCTCCGGTGGCACCGAGCCCACTGACAAACACCTCGCGTAAACGCCGATCGATTCCCTGATTCGACCACACTTGGCCAACGAGTCCCCGTAGCCGACCAGCACCTCGAAGCTCGGTGCCTTTTGCTTCAAGCTTCGCTCGTACATCTCCACGGCGAGACGATAGTTGCACGAGGCGAACGCTTCCTTTGCCAATTCGGTCATGTTCGTGGACGTGGAACACGCGAAACGGCGACGGATTTTCGGAAGAGAAAGAGAGAGAGAGAGAGAGAGAGAGATCGGTTTCGTTGTTTTCGTAGAAATGACGTGCCTGCGACCGATAAGAATTACGTGCACCCGTCGATCGCGGGGTAAACTGCGCGGCACGATCCGCTGATCGATAACTTTGTGAGGGTAGCTCTCAGACAGATGTGCATTTTACCTCATTCGTCCACTTTGAAAGATCGTGCGATCTTTCTCGATCACTTTCTTCCTTCGTCTCGCCACTCGCTTGCAAATGGAAATGAAGGAAACAGGAAGGGAAAGAAAAAAGGAAAGAAAAATGAAAAAGAACGACGATCGTATCGATCGGCTGGCTGGTCGGAGAAAACACTTGACACAGAGAAAGACGCGTGAGAATGATCGGACTATCCGGGTGTATATCGGTAGCCGCGTCGAACAGCCCGGGACAGCCTGGGTCCAATGTTGATAAGCGATTCGGTCGGTCGCACACGTTTGACAGCTGGCCGACCACGCGGTAAGAGAATTCACGTCGCACGGCACGCAGAAACAGTGCTACGCACGGCACGACGGCGCACTGACGACTGCTGGCTCGGCTGTCACCGCTCGCTCGGGCCACTGTCAGAAACGTAAACCAACCGGGCAGGCAGCGAGGGGTGGCCGGCAGGCAGTGGTGGCGGCGTCGGTGCAACCGTGGTGGCAAGCCAAGCCAAGCCAAGCCAAGCCAAGCTGAGCCAAGCGGCGGCGGCGGCGGCGGCGGCAGCGACGACGACGACGACGACAGCGCCACGCGGCGGTACACACACCTTCGACTCTTCACTGGCTCTACCTCACCAACTGTTTCGTGATAGCACCGAACCGTGGCTGTATCACCGCATCGGTCTACGTTCTCCTACGTAAGCGTCCGCGTTGGTGTCGAGCCACACCCCCCACTACGAATCTCAGGCATCGTCCTGCCACCGCCGAGATCCCCCTTGATCCGCTTGTCTTAACCCCTTCCCTCTTCTCAACCTTATCAGAATGCTTCTACTGTTGCTTCTCTCTTTTTTTTTTTTTTCCTTTTCAAACTACTCTCCTCTGATCGGTCGCATCGTCGCATCCACGTTCGGACAATTGCAGCTTCCACGAATCCATCGTTTCTCCATGAATCTCTCGCCACTTTATCTCAGGACGAATCTTTTCACGCATGTGGAGGTAGGTGTTATCCTTCGAGCCATCATCACCGAAGCAACGACTCAAGAATCTCCCGTGCGCAGCCCTTGTTGCGATATAGGACGGTCAGAGTTCCGTTCATCTCGCGGTCGACATAGTCCCGGCGTATCAACAGGCTCCTCCGAAGCGCGTCTTTGTGGATACTCGAGCGTATCGAACGGCGTCGCCTGTCCGCGCGCGTCCTGTCCCTTGGCTGTCGCCACTTGGTAACCTTCGTAACCGTGGATCGTACGCTGAAACAGGTTGTGGCTGGTAGCGAGGGCGAAGAGACGAAGGGGTGGCGGACCGTTTAACCAGGACACTTGTTGTTGGCGGCCTCTTATCTTCGTCTGGATCGTCCAAGGCTCTCCTGTCCTGCGAAACGGAAACGCGTCGAGGAGTCCGGTTCGATCTGGAATGGGGCGAGCACAAAACGACACAACTTTTCGGTGGCGGTGAGCTACCGTGGTAGACGCGAAGCAGTGTCGAGAGAGATGCGCGACCGCGGCGAGCTTACATAAAGAGCGTCGCGTCAGTGCACAAAACGTGGCGGGAGCGAGGCGAGTTTCGATTGGATCAATTATTCCACGGGCGAGCCTCGGCTCTCCGGGCTCTAGGAATCTTACTGAGCATGAGCAGTAACGTTACGTGGTCTACGTCGTGGTATTCTGTTTTACCCAGCACCGAGAGCGGACCTGCGTGCGCTGCTTGCTGCTCCCCTTGATGTGTATCGTGCGTGAGTCGGTGGGCACCAGCCAGCCGACCGCTGACTACGCAGACGCGCTATAAACGCACCGCTCGCTTTCTTTCTCCTTCCCCTTTCTGCTTCCCTTTTCTCACCGTTTCGCCTTCTCTCCTTTTAATCCGTTCCTCTTTCGCGCGCCACGCTCGCCACACGCTCGCACCCGATGCATCCGACGCATACGAGACCGCACGGTACACACGCGTGTCCTACGATCTGCGTGAATAAAACGCGCGCCGATAGCCTCGAGTGGATGCAACTGTTGTGTGAAAAGTTGTTTCTTTGGAAAATGTCAATACGTCATTGAGATGTTTCACATTCGCTGCACCGATGAACTTGAATTGAATTAACAAGCACTCTTTGATAATGTAGTAGCACGTTTGAGCAAAATCGGTCACCGTTGTTTGTAATTGTAAGAACTATTATTTGTAATTTCTTTTCAGATATGATAGATATCGTCGCGATGTATCAAAGATGTTATTGGCGATGCGTAACAATTTTTCCGATACGTCAGAAATATTATTGACTGAAACGAAGAAAGATGCAGGGAAATATTTCTGTAGTTGGCGAAGATAACGAGAAATAAAGAAGAGAGGCGCAATTTCAAACTTATACCACAGTTATCATTGTACCGAGATGTGTATACGTGTAATCAACGTGTTAGCCAGGTACAGTTAATACTCTTAGTTGTGAAGCTTAACGCAAGCTTGTGCTAGCCATTTGTCATCGACACAGCGATCAATCAGTTTGATGAAATGTTTTGAAACTCGCACGTAAAACAGCATAAAAAGAACGAAGATTACTTTAATCCATAGAATTTATAAGAAAGGAGATACTGCACGTTGAAAAATGAACGTCAGTCACACCTGTTAAAATTCCACGATAGAGAAGCCACGAGGATATTTATGTAGAATCCTAGCGCAATTGCGTGTAGTGCATAAATATCTCCCTTGTGGCTAGAAAACGTGGAGGTTTGTCCATTTATTGAGTGATTAATCTCTTTATTAATTTCTACATCGCCATTACACGATCCGCGCGTCGTGTGAAAATTCATTTTCCCGATCGTTATCGCCATTTGCGTGGGCAACCTGTCTGTTTCAGTTGCTTTGCATTTTCCTCTCGACCGGTTCGTTGTCCGCGAAATATTTTTATCGTCCATCGCGAGCTGAATTTTTCTCATTTAATCTTTCAGCTATCTTCTAGAATCTCTTTTTACAATTGGAGTAATACTATTAGTCTAATTTTCCAAGCCACAAATTACTATTGTAGTATTGAAGCAGATACATAAAATTTAGTTGTAAGACACAAATATATTTAGAAAACTGCAAGTCAATATTGTTTAAATTACTAGAGCTAAGCAAGTTACTAAAAGAAAAGAAAACGCAAGACAGGAAATTGTAAAGTTACCAGAGAGAAGTACTATAATTGCAAGAAAGTCCTTGTCGAGTCGGAAGGAGGAGTATCATTCGGACAATTATTCGAAATTATGTAACTTGTTGCCTGTTTGGAATTTTGTGGAAAATGACGTGAATTGTCCAAACATGCCGGATAAATAAACATCGACAATCGTCTAATTCGAACGACAAACTTTCGCGTCACGTTGATGGAAATCACCGCGGGATTCGATCGTCTGCGAGAAATCCATCCGATCTCAAGCGATTTCAAGAAGATTTCCAACTGCATTTAATAGGGATTCCCGAGAAAATTATTCCGAAGGACGAATAAACTATCGATCAATAATTCTCATCTGTAAGATGAAGATACAATTCGATCGTTTTAGAGACATCCCAAGAGATGCCAGTTCCACAATTTAAAACAGTTCTTCGTACCTTTTCATTCCTCTACGAATTCATTTTTCATTCTGCAAAAAATTATAATGAAATCCCTTCGACTAATTAGAATTTTTTCCTATCACTTATACTCTGTCCTCGTATTTTTATTCAGACACGTCGCTCTTCATTTCACGTTTCATTTTCCGAGGCGAAATTACAATTACCAAATATTAAGTTAATTTAACGTCGTCAGATTTTCCTAGAATTCGTGGGAATTAATTTCGAAGAGAATTACTCGAGTGACTTCTTCGTTAGCTCGTAAAAGGTGCAGTTCCAACGAGATGAGGCGCAGTCCCAACGTTCCGTCTCTGTTTGCAATTCAGCGGCGCAACTGCGCTTGATGAATCCCGGTCTCACTTGATGAATCACTTTTCCTACGTGTCGTAAACACTGCGACACGAACTCACCGAGGACCAGAGAAACCTTCAATTTTCTGTCGTAAAAAAAAAAAACAAAAAATTCACAACTGTGGCTCGTGGTAACCCTAATTGACTCCATTGCCATTTTTCGTACGCGTCACCAGCCAGTGTACAGGATGTCCATAAAGTCTCTTTACAATTTCAAATATTTATTACAAAGGCAAATGGAAAGACAGATAAGTGGAAATTATTATATTACAAAGTGAGACATATGTATTTAAGTTTTTTTCTTGCCTCATTTAATACATGCCTCTATATGGGTACCATTAGTTGTACGAAGCACATCAAGACGGTACTCGATTTCTTGCCATGTTTGCTGTAGCATACTCTCATCAATGATAACAATGGCATCAGTGATTCTCTGCTTAAGATTAATAATATCCCGTACCATTAAATGAAGCAAAAAAACCTTAAATATATACGTCTCATTTTGTAATAATTTCCATTTATCTGTCTTTTCATTTGCCTTTATAATAAATTTTTGATATTGTAAAGAGACTTTACGGACATCCTGTATATCGTCACGAAATGCAGAACGAAATCGAACCGATCACGTTTTAATCATGCGTTAAGCTTAAAACTTACGTTGACTCGTTTCACGAGCGTAAATGACAACGTTATTCTCGTTTTAATAGGAAAAACTATTAACGTTCATTCATATTAAACAGGATTCCCGTCATTTATCATTCACTTGTACTAATTTATCATTCATTAACGGCAAACGCTAAAAAATATCGACCAATGTTAATGAAAAAAAGATTCCGTCTTCTTTATTGTATTAACAACATTATTTCATTATAGAATTATATATTCATTTCGATAATCTTTTAAAGTTTGTAGAAAGTTCGATCGATATTAATTATTTTTCTCGTACTCAATGTGTCAGTCTCTAAACCAAACAAGATTACATTTGGAAAGAGCAATTTGTATCAATTTACATCAAGTTTAGTGTATCCTCTGCTTTTCGAACGAAATTAATATGCAAGTTCCAATTCTAAATATAATCAATTAGTTCAAGTCGGCAATATCGCGAATAAAATGTTTATTTACTTAAAGATTAGATATTATTTTTCCCGAGACACACCAAAATATTGAGCTAAAGAGTGAAAAAGAAATTAATACGAATCCACATTTACGTCATTCAATGATCAATAATAAAAGATTTAACATTTCAAAGTACGTCTCACTTCGAACACGAATAAAAATATAAATATTTCGTACGGTAAACGACACGCGAATCGTTGCTACATTTTCATACGTTCACGTTCGATTGGATATCGACCACGCGGCGACGTAGAAATTCGAAAAACGGAATACTTAATCTCCGCTTGCATATACGTATTTATCTGTCGGCTTACGTAAGATATTTGTGTCGTACAAAGAGTCACCTTTGTCGATCGCAAAACAAATTGTTAATCATCGAAATACGGCGTATCTTGGCGTTACGTAAATGGTTTACGCACGGCAGACACCCGCGCACACAAAGTCGTCGCGCGGCTGCTTCTTTCCTTTGCTTTTTGTTCCAGAAACGACGAATTTTATTATACGCGGTGTGCGACCACCGATGGAATGCCATTGCCAGAAATCTTCAACTCTCGTGTTTGAACCTGGCCACGCGACCCGACAATCCACGATTACGTCATGCTATCTCAGCTGCTTGCTTTCGCGCACTATGATCCTTCCACCACGCCGTCGTGAAGATGCAACGAGATCATGTTTTTTTGGCAGGAGAGACCCGATTCGAAGAAAACGAATTTTTTTGCAGAAGGTAATTTTGGACTCTGCTGAATTTCTGAACTTTTATATTTTACTCTTACCTCTTGAACAGAATTGTTTTTCTTTTTTCTTTTTTTTTTTTTTAGCAAGGGAGATCCAATTTCAAGAAATCGATGACAAGTTTTTTTTTGTAGAAGATAATTTTGGACTCTGCTGAATTTTTAAACTTTTATATTTCATATATATTTTTGCCTCTTGAACAGGATGGTTCTCTTTGAAGAGAAACCCAATTTCATCAAAAATCGATAATCAGATTTCTATCGAGGATATTTTTAACTTTGCTGGAGATGATTTGCTTATATGTTTTTGATAGAGTTTTTTTAGAGTTTTGAAAATTTTGTTCTAGTTATAAGATATGTGATTAACTAACTGCCATTTATTCTGTAATATATGCAGAAGAAGACTATTCCATAGCTATGTGCAGTGGTTCCAGAATTGATATTAAGATCTCAATGCAAGAATAGTAATTATTGGAATTGTATTCTTGTCTCAAGTCGGTCAATCTCAAATTGAATATTCTCATTTTACTTATGTCAGACATCAGAAATCAACAGGTATATTGTTTCCTTTGTTTTTTCTGATTATACATAATTCGAGAAATGTTATCAGAAACGAAACTCGTTTTATCTGAGAAAAGCTCATCATCAAAAAAATTCTCCATCAAAAGGAAATTAAAATTAAATCACATTATTTAAAAAAATAACAAATGACACTAAAAAATCAATGCTACGAAGATTTGCAATTCGAAACACTTAACGCGTATTCGACATAAATTTTATTGTTTCTAATCTAGAGTTTAGACTTTAGAGTTTTCACATTGCTTTATATTTTCAAATTTATGAAAATTGAATCATTTCAATAACAAACCGACAGAAAATTTCCTCGTCAAGACATTGAGCTTCCTAAAATGGAGATGATATCACGATAATGAGAAAATTTCGTAAAGAACGGATCACGAAAGGTTCGTTTCCTCTTCAAAACATCTAATTATTTCTTAGTAAAGAGCTTAACCGCTATGCTCATTAAATTCTCTCTCCCATCCTTCTTCTCTCTCTCTCTCTCTCTCTCTCTCTGTACTTGGTGATGATGCACCGACCCGTTCGTCGCGTTCCCTTTTTCACGAACTCCAATCACGAACACAGACAAGCGTCGATCGCGGCATCAGTGTTCGTTTAATTAGCGGCGGCTTCTTCGAACAAGCATTTCCATTCGTTTTTACCCCTAGCTAAGCGACCGATCGATCCCTCTGACATAATCGCGCCGTCGAGGCTTTCGCAATTGCGCCTTACTCGCGACGTACACGCGTCGATTTATGGAATGGTCGACGTTGGTTAATCAGATTCGTGAACAGTTTCGCGACGGATGAGAGAGTGTCCCAGGTGTCCAGTGGAAGGACTTTGGGAGAGACGATGTTGCGACACTTGGCAAAAATGTGGCTAGAACCGCCTCTCCTGGATGGCTATGTTTGGAGCTGTTACATAAAGTCTCCTCCGCCGATCAGTCACCAGAGGGCCTTATTAGATCAACTACGAAAAGCCATCCGATGTAAAATCCGGTTGCTAACCGGATATGTATAAGTCGGAATGTCAATTATTGTCTGTAGAAACATGTTATTATAAACTGTGGGCTTTTACACGTTCGTGGGAAATTTAGAAATTAGAAGAGCGCACAGAAGGATTCACCAGGGTATGATGCTTGTTATAATATTTAGCGAGTAAAACAAATCTTTGCTTCTATTACCATTACCGTAATACTTTTCATTATTTAAATGTTTTACCATCGAAGTGATTTTTTTTTTTATTATCCGTATTCTGCGCTTGTATTAGTTTGGTATAGCAGTTGTATACGTATATTATACGTAGTATAGTATAATTTGGTATATGTAGAATATCTTTGAGGTTGATTTTGAGCCATCGTGACGTTTAACGTGAAACCTATGGTTTCATTGTTGCAAATTTGAAAACATTTTTTAACTAGTTTCTAATTTTCTTTTAAATATATTTAAATTATATATAATATAAAATACATATTTCTTAGTAACTTTGATAAGTCGAATATCTTCGTACGCCTTTCATTTTTTTTGTAAGATAAGATACCTTCTCTTAGTTACTTTCTCATAGATGAAAATTGGCTATGTATTTCTAAAAATCAAGTTGAGCTCTCCATTAGAATGTAATTTTATATCCAATTATTGTAACATAATTTGTAACTGTATCCATTTCTTGAATTATATCCCAATTTTTCCAATCCTAATAATCCTAGTATCAGTTCAATCATCGATTCATAGAAAACATAAATCAATCATCCAAAAAAACTCGACAGAAAGCTCGGGGAAAATCTGTTTGGAAGAGCAACATACTCGGGGCAATCGTCGTTGAGGATGCGACGGCGGATTCTACGCCGGGAAATCCTAATGACGCGGCAAGTTCAACGACTACATAACGCTATTTATCATCGCGTGATGTAGCGAGGTCTCCACGCGCGGTGCGCGAGGAAAAGCGCGAGCACGGCCGTTCTACGTCGCTATACGCCAGAACGAGGGTATTGTCGATCGAGTCTCACGTCGGCGCTTAAAAATAAAGAGCGGTAAACACCGACGAAGACCTTTATGTAATGAATGAGCGTAAATTAACAGAGTAGCATGGGATCGTCTGCGACGTGGTCGTGGTCGTGGTCGTGGTCGTGGTCGTACGAGCAGCGTACGCTGCAGGTCTCTCAGCCCGAGAGGTGATTCGAGCCGAGTCAAGAAGTTTTATTCTCGGCGTGGTAAACAATTTGTTTTGCTGGGTGCACTGGTCGCCTCGGTGCGCGCGCCACGTCTCGCACATAGAATCAGCAGCGTACAGCTTACGTAATATATTTCAGATAGAGAATTCGCACCTTACATAATTGCGTCGCCGTGGATCGGCCACGTCGAGTCAAAAGTTTGCCGGCGCATCGTACACTCTACGTCAGCGTTCTTCGACAAGCGAGCAATTTTTCCGCAATTAATTTCGATTATTAATTGATGGAAATCACCGGAGCTGGCAACCAGGCGGCAAAAACGTGGAACGAGAGTGACAATGGAAGCACATTGGGAGAGGGAGGGAAGACAGAGCGACAATCAGCAAATAATTGACGACGAAATTGGAAGATAAAAGTAACGAACGAGATAAAAAGGCAGAAATAAATAATGAAACGAAGACAGAATTCATACGGCGCCTTATATAACTGCGTTACCATAGATCGCTCGTGTCAAGTTGAACGCTTCTCTGCTCGTAGCAAAGTCTCAGCCAATATGCGCGACTCGTTACAAGAGACTGAATGAATGCGTAATTTTTCCGGGAAGAAGTGTTGATGTAGATTATTGATTATTTTTTACTCGCAAGTTTCAGTAAATTGCTGCAATTTAACGAAGTAGGAAAAAATGTGGCGCAAGAGCTGCAATCGCAAGGGCGACAGAACGATTATTAACGTAGATCAATAAGAGGGGTACGAAGGCAGAAACGTGAATCGGTAGCTCGTGATTGACAGTAAAATCATGTAGTAAATAAATGAAAGATGCAAGAGAATAAATTACAGAATAGAAGCTTGAAACAATAGACTAAGTTTATACGAACTTATCAGAGGACAAATATTTTATATAATTCGAGGCTGACTACTTCATTACCAGTGATTTTTCATTCATGCATGTTTTAGAAGTTCGTACAAATACAATTCAACGAGCAAAGGATTCCTTTAATTAGATATTTTTCAACTATCTTAATTCGGGTTCTTAATTACCATATCAACTAAGTAATTTCGCAATCATTTCTGTAGTGTAACATAATACACCATTTTTGTTTCTTCTATGTAAAATGTAAAACATAATGTCCGAAACTATGGTGGTGTCTGAATACTTTTGTGATCGATTATAGTATTCAGATAAATAAAATTCTACTTTAAGTAATAACTAAGTAATAAATGTCTCGCTTATAAAATAAACATTTGCGTGTTAAATATTATTTTTCGAAGGAATGGCGTCTGGATTCGACGGAAGATCGATAAACAACGAACGTACGTGCCTCGAAACATGATTTAAGTCGCTTAATTCTAAGAAAAGCTTGTTTCCCGTGAAAATTAACGCAGTTCGATACTGTGACGTAACAATAGTTACGTAGACGAAACGCTTCGGTCGGAGACGTGATGTTTCGCGAAGCTTTGCTCTTTCGTTCATGTTTCCAATGTGCTCCGAACGTTTCGTGCTTCTACCGTTTCTTCGTCCTACGGTTAACAAAAGCAATTGTAAATAAAAAGCAGTGATCTCAACGTGAACGAGCAGCAACGAGCGTAGTACGTCCAGTATAGTCAGACGATGGACAACCAAGCGAATAACAATAGTAATAATATTCTATCGTTGCACGGATAGCCGGGCTGAATCACGATTGACTCGAGTTCAAAAAAAGTAGAAAAACAGCGGGTTTCGAGGCCAAAAACATATGTGACTTTCGCTCGCCAAGTAATTAATTATCAAGGATGCGAATCTGTTTACGAAACACAGCCGGCTTGTCTAATTATAAATTGTGCTTGATGATATTTGCGTAGGATCTTATGCGCCTCTAGAATTTCACTGTATCAGAGAATACTATATAATCTCGAAATCAATGATAAACACAGAACGATTGGACTAATAAAAAAGGATACTGGGAAAATCTTTTTCAATACGTAATAGCGCTTAATGTGGCTGCAAGAAGAGCACTCTGCCAAAATTTTATTTTTAAAAAGTGATAAATATATGAAAAGAAAACGTTGATACTGCACTGCGTGATACATATCACGTTGCTGCGCAATAAAGACGTAAATAAATGAACGAAACGAAATTTTGGGAATTATTTATAACTCTTTCACAGACAGCAGCAAGCACGAGATAATTAAGTGCAATGCAACATTAAAATATTAAATTGTTGCATACGAAATGGTGGATTTATGAAAAAGACTTTAACGTGAAATAGAATTTAGTGAAACATAGAATTTTGTGAAAAACAAAATTTAATGACTAAACATTGTCAGTAAATTATATTTA